TCTCTCTCTCTCTCTCTCTCTCTCTCTCTCTCTCTCTCTCTCTCTCTCTCTCTCTCTCTCTCTCTCTCTCTCTCTCTCTCTTTCTTCCCCCCCCTTCCCCCATTGATGCCGCGCCCGTCTGTTGTATTTCGTCGTCTGTTTGTTTGTTTTTTGTTTTTTTTTTTTGTTTTTTTTTTACGCTCATTTTTTTTGGGCTACCGGTCACACCCCGGTGGATACCCCGCACGACGCGGCGCGTTAACGGCCGCGTCGAAATCCTCAAGCAGGGCGAGGTACTGGTGGTTAAAGCACCAGTACACCACATATTGGCCCACGGGTGTCAGCATGAAACCCACACCACTTCGGAGGCCGCCAATTTTTTTTTTCAACGGTGGGCCTGGTGACACAACGCTTCCGAGTTTTGCTTGTGGCGACAAAAACTTTCTGCAAGGCCGGGGCCGTGTACTAGAGGCTTAAGACAATCCCCTACTGTAAGCTCCCCACCGATATCCTCCAGCAGAGCTTGTCCCAATCCAACCCTCCCCCCAAACAGGACCCCATCCCACCTAAAGGTCCTTGCCCCCCCCAAAAGCGGAGCCTAAGGTAACCAACACACATGAGCAGTCTAATCACAAACCCATACCTGCATCCCCATTAGACCACTAAATGTATCAGGCAAACCCCTCATAGGCCAGGGCCCAACATACAACACCATGGGCGATCCCTTGGGTGGCGCGCAGGCAGTGTCTGTAATAGCTTACCTGCGTCGGCCCAAGGGAAGAGCAAGTGACCTTGCGTTATGTAAAAGCCCACCGGTGTCTCTGCGCAGAGGCGCGGAGTATTGAACCCACAACCTCAGACCACAATGCACATTGACAGCCGGTGCCCTAACCACTGAGCCACAGGCCCGTTCTTGAATCTTGATATAATTTCTATTTAGGCTCCTTTTGATTTTAATCATAGAAAATAATTCAAAATATATTTCAACTGAATTGAGCAAGGATGACACATGCAAGTCGCGAAATTGTCCAACTCAACGTATATGTAATACTCCCTGGTTAATGTTTACGCTATTGACTCGTATTGAGTATTCATTTTCATTTTTATCTATTATTCATTTATTTATTTGTTAATTATTGCATTCATTTGACCACCAAGAAAGCTTCTTTATATAATTTGATAGTTTTACAATAACACATATTTTTAAGAAATTCATATAAATATTGAACACAAATGCTAATATGAATCATTATACGATAAAAGTTAACTAAATTGTTAAGTAAATTAAGGTTAAATTTTATATTTTCATTTATTCTTTTTTTCCCCCCTGATGAGTCCTTGAAACTCCTACGAAACAGTTTTGTCTCAGCCCCTATTGTCCTGTTCTCCCTCTCTGCATACGGTTCACCGGGCAGTTCTGTTTGCCGATATAAATATATATAATATCGACACAACAGAACTGCCTGGTGACCCTTAGGCAGGGAGGGAGAAGAGGACAACAGACCTGGGGCTGTGATAGACTGATATTATGTGATATATATGTTTTTTTTTTCCCCCAGTCCCTCTCCCCCCTCTCCCCCCCCCCCCCCCCCTTTGGTTGCGGGCGACTCCGCAACTGAAATTTCTTGCGGTATTGTTAAATTACATGGATCAGTATTTGAATGAAAATTTGGAATGTTGTGCTGAAAAGTAAACAAATAAATATATTAAATGGATCCTGACAAAGGCAATGTTCATCGAATCTGGCTCAAATCTAGCTTGATGCTTACTGGGAAAGTACCATCTCCCTTCAGCAGCAAGGTGCTCAATGTTTCTTGATTTGCGACGAATTGGTTTACATCCGCATTCTTTTGGGGCTCGGACTCCTGGACCTCTTTGGCTGGCGGTGCCAGCCAAAAAGCGAAAAAAAAGAATGCCACAGCGGTTCCTTTTGAACTAGGAGTGCAGCACAAGTGCGCCACAAGAAAAAGCGCCTCGGAAGTAGTAATGGTTTAATCTGTTCGTAGTCATCCATTGGCCTAGCTGTGAAGGGGCTTTACTTTCACCCGAGCCCACGTATCCGCTTGGCGACAAGCGGAAGGTCAAGTGTTCAATTCACATGCTGGGCACAATGCGGTTGCTCTACTTTTGCTAGTCCTGCTTCCCAAATAGGGTAAAAACTTACTAAAAAGGCCACAGAAGACTCAACAACCTTTCAATTTCTTCTTCTTCTTCTTTCTTTTTTTTTGGGGGGGGGAATTCAAAATTCTTCTTTTTAATTTTGCGGGTTTTCTTTTTCTCTCTTTTAGAACAGCAGAATACACAGTACTTGAAGAGCACGTACACACAAGCATTGGCTGTCGAGAACAATAAATTATAAATCAAATGAATGGAGTCAATTGACACTCGGAGAGTGAAAAATACATCAAGCTGACACCCGAATCCTCAAAATGTGATGATCAAGCTATTAAGCTGTTGGTTCCTTCCTTGACTGCTTTTTTTTCCCCATATTTTTAATTAATAATTAATAGTAAATGCCGTCCTCCTGTACATGGACTACGATGTTCATCGGGACAAAGCGCGGAAGAACTTTATGTTCAAAATCTTTGGTGAGTTTTATGCCTTCCTTCATTTCAACTTTGAACTTTGAAAATTCTTTGTCCATGTGGTAGTTGAACAAACCTTGGTGTTAAAAAAAAAAAAAAAAAAAAAAAGAAAAGCCTCGTTTTTTTTTTTCATAATTTTTTTTTTTTTCCCTAGGGGTGAACCTATTTCCTCTACAAGCCCCATGAGTAGACCGAAGACCTCGTGATGTCCCCCAGAGTGCTGTACCTAGAGTACCCTTACCAAGGTCCAATGGCCTTCCCCTGCAAGACCAATGTCTAACCCATGACAGATGACAGCCCAGGGCTACCCTAGGTACTCCCACCCAGCACAGCTGTTTTTTAACCTCCAGTACTTTTCCCCGCTTGAAAAACAATTCCACGGGGGCATACATGGACAGTTTTCAACGGTTGGGGTACCTGATGGAAATGGCTGGCGGTGCCAGCCAAAATGAGGCCTGCGCCGATTTGTGTCTTTTTCACGCAGGGCGATTTTAGCCTCGACATCGATAGTTGAGAAAGGTACTGGTGGTTTAAGCCCTGTGATAAGCCCGCATATGAACTGTACAGCTTGGTTGCACACGTCAAAACCTCAATCTCTATTGGCAGCTCACGGTCACCATCTTTGTGTTATGAACTTGGTTGTCTGATGATTTTTACCGCCACTCACACACAGACAGTCTCATACACGCCCATACATGCATAAGAGAAGGGGGAGAGGGGACAGAGTCCAGACTGTACACAGATCAGAATAGGCAGCGGAATACAGCCATGCACAGGTGGGGAGAAGACACACAGTGTTTCTCACTCTCTGACAAACTCCCAACAACCAATCACAGAAAAAACCTGCGAGGATAACAATTGGAATTCACACTGATGAAGAGCCAATTAAACCAGATATCGTTACAGAGTTTGTTCCAGTATCTCGCCACACTCAGAACCCCACACTCCACTCTCTACCCTACACCCAGTTAGTAGCGCACAACCAAAACAGCCTCCCAGAGGCCAGCGCCAACCACCCAGATGAAGAACAGATCCAGCGATGAAGTCTTCAGTGCCGATGAACAACTCTGACGAAGAAACTGGCAGCCATAGCTGCCGCCACCCACAAACACTCAGTGAGGAGCCTCGATATAGCCTGGCCAGATGCAGATACCCTTTCAAACTTGTTGATCCTCTTCAGGATCTTGAGGCGCTGCAACCCTTGTTGTCAGATTCCCTGAATCTGACCCTGTGGCACTCAGAAGCCAACAGAAAATTATCTCGCCACAGGTCCCTTCAGTCGCTGATGCTATAAATAGCCCCAGATGGGGTTATTTCCACCTGAGATTGACACTGACTGTCAATCTCCCTCAGCGCTGCGCAGGGATGAAGCCGCTCAGTGATCCCTGAAGTCCTCAGGGGTAATTCGCCACTCTGAGGCACTTCGCTATCCTGCCCTCAGGGTTGGCTATGGCGAATTAGCCCTGTTCTCGCGACTTCCTGACAAGCAATTTGGGTTGGAACAGTTTCTCTGGGGTCAGGGGTCAGACAAACAGTTAGTCCAGTAAAATCATTCACACGATTTCCTTTTACTGACCCTGCGCCACACTGGAGTTAGTAGACACAATCCACTACTCTTCCAGAGAAACACTAGATTTCCAGAGCCCACTAGAAAACAAGAGTAGTCAGTGAGAATGATAGAACATGGCAAGTACAGACAAGAAGGATGAAACAAGCAGAGCGATTCAGTCAGAAACTCTAAATCCTAACTCAGACTCCAATTTCGGCCCTGATGACTCTGGCGGTCATACCCTAGGGTATGGCGAATTACATTATTCACTGTTTCCAGTGAATTACTACAAATCCAATCAAGCGCTTCTGCAATATTGCCTATTTTTGGATTGCGATTGACTGATAACGGTCAGAATTGAATTCAGACGGACAGAATTGAAGTTATGACTGACCCTAGGTAGCACAGGCTATAACTAGACTCAGCGCAAAACTGTAATTCACAGTATCACTACTTTTCCAGTACAGGATTCACAGTCTGGCAGTTGTCAGTCAATCACAATCCAAAAATAGGCAATACTGCAGAAGCGCTTGATTGGATTTGCAGTAATTCATTGGAAACAGTGACTACTGTAGTTCGCCATACCCTAGGGTCAGGGGTCAGACAGACAGTTTGACTCTGGTCTGACTCAAGTTTGAAGTGATTCTGTGCGTGGAAGACAGAGGAGGAAGTTCTGGAAGAAACTGGCGAGATGAGGGTTTCAGTCTGCCATAGCCAGATCTTCACCCAGCTCTGCAAGAAACTTTGAAAGTGAGTCTGTTCCATGCACCTACCTGTATGGCGATTCAGATAGGATTAGATTAGGCAGTAATTATGGTATACCTGTCTGTCAGTGACGGGATGTGAATTCCAATTGGTATCCTCGCAGGTTTCTTCTTGTGATTGGTTGTTGGGAGTTTCTTAGAGAGTGAGAAACACGCAGTGTCCTCTCCCCATCTGTGCATGGCTGAACTTTCGCTGTTTACTCTGATCTGTGTACAATTGGACTCTGTCTCCTCTCCCCCTTCTCCGATGCATGTATGGGCGTGTATGAGACTGTCTGTGTGTGAGTGGCGGTAAAAATCGTCAAACAACCAAGTTCTTAACATCTGCCTTTACTGTCTGCCTACCTTCTTCCCCGGAATACAACGCATGGTCATTATAACTGTATTTGAGGCATCTTTCAGTCTAGATACAGCTATAATGACCGTACGTTGTATTCGGTCGAAGAAGGTAGACCCTGAAGATCAGAACGTTTATTAGCTACTCTACTCTACAGTCATCAGCAGGTAACCCCTGTTCCATGTCATAAACTGCGTCCCATCCAGTCCCAATCCTCAACAGAAGGCCCCCCTTCGTCCGTCATTGAGAAGAGTCGCGCAATCATTTGCCCTTTCTTGCCAGTAACCCCCGCATCCTGTGACCAAAGTCCGGACACATCAGCTATCGGGTGGACTTCACTAGACTGAGGAACAAGTACATGGGGTGCCAACCTAACACCAACCGGACTCGCACAGGAGAGAACGAGGGTTGACCAGAGTCAAACCAGAGTCAAACCCGCAACCTGTCCCATAGTACTCCAGAGCTGTAACAAACTGCACTATCACGTCTTGGTCGTAACCAATTCCTTTCTGTCTTCTCAATCTATCTTGCTTTGCGATCCGTACACGTGGGAAATCTTTGCACTTGCCTGCTACCAATTGAGGAAACGATGAGTTGGTTGGCACCGTGAGTGGCAGGACCAGGAAGTGGGTGAGTGTGTACCATCCCACCTGTAGCGATGAGATGATTGACACCTCTATTGACTTCCTCCTGACGATGGTCTGTGACTGGCGCCGACCGATATGCCACATAGATGAGAAGGCCAGTATCTTCCATGGCTGGTGGAGATTGCTAATGAGTAGGGCTATGGTGGAGTGCCATGGAGCACTTGTCTCTCTGATGTTTTTTTTTTTTTTTTCCATTTCTTAACCAACTTGATTTTTTATGCTCCATAGCTCTACCTGTTTTTTTTTTTTTTTTTCACAGTGTTCTGATGTTGTGGCATGCATGCCATTTCTGACTGATGCTGTGTCTATCTACCTCCTCTCACCTCCTTGAAGTTCTCCATTATGTTGCTTGTGGCGGTGCGGCAAAAAATGGCAATTTTTCGACCCTCCATTAACCATCCGTCAAACAAATTTGGAAAAAAAAAGGAATGAAAAAGGTGGGTAGGTTCTCACTTAAACCACCAGTACCTAGCGGTTGTTAAGGCCCGTGGCTCAGCATACCGGTATCCCGAACCTTGCCGAGCCTCGAGCTACCGGTAGGTACACATGGGAAGAAAAAAAAAGACAAAAAAGAAAAAATCGACATTCTTCTGCCCAAAAAAGAAAAAGAAAGAAAAACAAAGATGCCCATTTGGGTTGCATGGAGAGAGAGAGAGAGAGAGAGAGAGAGAGAGAGAGAGAGAGAGAGAGAGAGAGAGAGAG